ACTTTTAGCACCTGAAGGCAAATAGCTTTTCTCAGCAATACTGTCTCCAGAAAAAGTCTCTCCAGCACCGATTCATCAATGCACTACTGAGACTGCATTCATCAGACATTTACACAGAAATAGGAAGACTGAGCCTTTCTCAGTGCTATAGAAAAGTTGAATTTTCTCTGAAAAAGCAGACAACAGACTTACAGAGGTTAAAAAGAAAAATTGCCCTTCATTTTGTGTTCATCCATTTTTCCCCTTCTGGCTTAAAGAGGAAGCAAGGAATGAACATGTGTGGATTCAGAAGTATCTAGTCTTCATAAATCCATGCCTGTCAAGTTTAAGATTGAATCTCTGCTTTGACACAAGCTCTCTATAGGACTGTGGCCAAGTTAATTAACCAGCTCATGGTTCAAATGTTTCGTTTGTAAACTGGGAGGAGTATCTGGATGAAAACTCAAGCTGGCTACTGAATAAGCAAGTATTTCAAGATCATCATCAAGAAGGTGGCATGTAGTGGTTAGAAACCTGGTCATGTCAGCATCATTCACTTCAATTGTGCATGCTGTCCAGAGTAAGTGGAAATAAAAAAAATATTTTCCTGCATATAAAATGAAAAGACAGACCTAGGGTGCTGGCTTCACTAAATTATTTTCAGTACTCATGTTGAAAAATATACAGTAAAACTAGTCACATGAAAACTATTCTTTTGCATTGTAGACATACCCTGCTGCTTCTGTTGCACTGTGGAAAATAAGCTGCTTACATGCATTCAACATAGGGTCTCTAGAACCACTCTCCAGTTTCTTCAACAATAGTTTTATTTCAGTTGCCAATTTTCACTTGTAAGAGAAATTTGTTTTGAATATCTGCATGAGACCTGTTCTGTTACAGCATCCCTACATGACAAGACCATTACATGACAAATGAAAAAAACAGGTTGTTAACAGTCAGTCCAATAGTGATATAAAAAGAGCTCCCCATTCGTAAAAAGAGAAAAAGTGAAATACTGACAAGCAGATTAAAAAAATGGAGTGTAATCTAATTTCAGAGGCAGAATCCATTTTGGACATGGAAACAGAAGAATATTTTTTGTGTTTTGAGGATGCAGAATTTGTTTTCACTAGTGCAACTAATCTGCTTTGAAAGCTGTCCCTATCCTGGCTGTCCACTCTCACCAGGCAACTGAAGGAACACAGATGTTTCCTACAGACAAGAAGAAGATACACAATAATGAGATATGTAAATTCTTTTTTTTTTTTTCCAGAGAGGGAACTTCTACTTCTGAGAGGACAGCCGGTATACTTTCTGTCCATGTCTTTGCAAAAATATTCTGCATTATCAGCATGAATTCAAAGATAGGAAGATGGAGAAATGGAAAAGTTAAGAGAAACTTCAAATGCTTGTTTAGAAGCACTATCATTAGTTAATATCAAAAATGGGACTTTCTCAAGTCTCTGTGTTAATTATGTGTGCAAATGCAAAGAACCTGTAATTTATGATTTTACCATTTTGAACAGTCAACAAAATGCAAACTTAAAGGACCACAGTCAGAAGCCACACAGGAAAATATGCTTAAGTAAAAAGCTCTTGATTTCTGATAGTAATTAGCTGAACAACATTTCCTCCATGTGGATAAACACATGCAAAAAAGTACAACAGAACATTGCCAAGACCTACTGTGCACTTTTACTTTTTACTAGAAAGCAACCTACCACAATTTAAGTTTTTGCATAATCAGTAGACAAAGTGAACACAGTGTTATATTTGATTGTTTTTACAATCAGCAATATATTGCAGTCTACATTTTCACAGCCCGAAAGACTGTGATCAGCCTTGTTGAATGTCTAGACTTGTTAGGCACTCAGCAAATTCTCTTAAATGTGCTGTATTTTAACATAATTCCAGGCTACTAGCCTGAAACCAAATCCTTACTTCTATGGATTCTGCATTAGTGCACTCTGATAATTAGTCAATGGTAATACACTTCTGAAAGATGAAGCGTACTTCTACAGTGTATATATATCTCAGATAAAAACCCCTGTGTAACAAGGAAAAATGTGAAAAAAGACAAATGTATATTTGTATCAAATGTATGGAGACAAGCAATTTGATATTCTAGCAAAAGAGCTTCTTTAGAGTGGAAAATAACTTCTAAAAGCTATTTATGTATTTTTAGGAGAGGTGATACAACTTTGAAATTAGTTTTATATATGTTAAAGATTGTTGACATACAAAGAACTCACATTTAGGCAGTATTCTCAGAGCAGATTACATTATGTATGCCGCATACACATCCTAGGCAATTTTGAAGTCAGTTTTTTATTAAAAATAGTTCCTAAAATTCAGTAATAGTTATAGTTGTACTGTGCAATCTGTAATGCTGCACAGTTTTTTGCAGAACAGTTTTCTAAATACTGTCTTCTCTCAGTGTGTCTCCACTGGGCAAGTGGGCTGTAGATGCATTTCAACAGAAGCAATGGATACTTGTTGCTCTGTGCAGCTGTTCAACTTGAGCATATAAACTGCATCTTGCTGGTTTTTTTAACACTTCACCAAAAGCTGAGTGTAGAAAGCCTGATGATATGGATTTATCTTTTAAAGCTGCTTATTCAGTGGCTAAGAGAAAGTAGAGGAAGGTGGGAGGATATTCTGACCTCATATACATGTTACTGTCATGTTAATAATCAATAGCAGGTAGTCATATAGAAGAAGCTTGAGACTGTATTTTACATTATTATCTAAATGTAAATAAAAAGAGGGTAGAAAAGGTAAGATTAAAGAAAGGTGTAAGATTCAGCCCTTCTTCTTCTTTACGTAGTTGCAATCATGAATTTCTATTCCTGTTTACCACCTTTAACGATGATCTGGAGCACGTAAGAGTATAGTTTCCTCAAGTGTTCAGATGACAACCAATTGGGAGGCAGGGCTGCCATTCAGAGGGGCCTAGACAGAAGACAGGCCACAGGATGGGCCAGCAGGAATCTCACTAAATTTAGGAAAGGCCAATGCTGTGTCCTGTACATGGGAAGAAGGAATCTCAGCAACAATGCAAGCTGGGATGGACAGGCTGGGGAGGAGCTCTGCAGAAAAGGACTTGGGAGCCCTGGTGGGTCAGCAAACTGAATGTAAGCCAGCACTGTATTGTGGCAGAGAAGGTGGACAACAGCAACCTGAGCTTTATGAAAAGGAGCAGAGCAAATAGATTGAGGGAAGCTATTATCCCCTTTACTTAGCATTTATTAGACCGTAACTAGAATACTGTTTTGTATCCTGGAACTCAACACTTGGAATTCTATGTTTTAAAAGGATTCTAAGTACATTTTAATAACAACATCAACTTTATTTTTCTTTTTAGGATACAGAGATAACTGCAATATGTGGTGTTACATTTATAGGGTTTCATTATGCTTATATAAGGCACCCTCTCTCCTTGGCCCCACAGTTTTGTTTGGAGTTAATCTTCCATACGTTGATAGACTAATCTGAGAGCTCTAGTAAGGTAATAGGCAAAAGAATTATTATAGTGCTTGGTTGAATAATAGGTTTTGAACATGGTTAAGTCAAAGGATATACAGAGAGAGCACATTCTTCAAACTGTACAGCATCCCATTAGAAAATGAATCTGGTCACAACCTGAAAACTGGCACACAAGGCTCCCCTGTTCACCCTAATATTGAAAACACTAAAAGGATATATTTTGTTTGCATCCAGAAACAGTGAACTTTTCATTTACAACGTTGTCTTTTGATGTACTTAAAAACCCCTAAGTGGTATAGAGATCAATTCTAAGCTCTATTACTTCATATAAAAGAAAACTATGAGAACTCGAGTTTTGATTGCAACTGCAATATACTGCATAAATAGGGAATTTTGTGTGATATCACACTAACCTCTACCCTAAGATCAAAGTTACCAGAAAAGGAAAAATAAAAGGCTATCAAATAAAGAAGTCTGTTTTCTGGAATGGAAGGAGACTAGGCTACAAAGTGTAAAACTTCCCACTGTGCTTAAACTACTTGGGCAGAACTTAAGCCATGTTCCATTTTTATATTTAAAAACAATACTAAAGGTATTATACTGTTGTTACTGTAACTTTTACAAGGGCAAGCTCCTTTCCTAGGAGTATAGGTCAGCTGCTGGAAAGCTTTTTCATCGCTAGTACTGATATCTTTATATAAAAATATCCTTCCAACAGATTTTGTTGCCTACCTTGCAAATAAAAATATAAATACTTCTGCCCAGTGATAATTCTGCCCCCATAATCCTTCGCCCACAGATTTACTTTTCTAGTTTCTGATTATTTAGAAAGAAAAACTCCTTCCCAAAAACTTTCACTTATAAGACATACATACCATAAACAACTTTGACCTGATACATGCTGCATTTAAAAGCGCAGCAAAACCACATTTTCTTTATATTTTAAATAGACTACTGT